TCAGTCACCCGTCTGTCACCAGTCAGTCACCCGTCCATCACCAGTCATTCACCCGTCCGTCACCAGACAGTCACCCGTCCGTCACCAGACAGTCAAGTCAGATATTTATATAGACCAATTTAAACAGAAACTCTTGCCAAAGTGCTTAACCAAAAGATCACAGCATCAAATAAATAGTAACAAGATATAACTACAGCATCATGAATAAAAACAAAAAAACACAAAACATCAAAAACGATGAAATACTAAATCAGATCACCCTGTGTTAAATGTAACAGAATAATCACAAAAAAAGCATAAACACAGTCAGAAAGAAATTTTAATTCCACCTTTGTTTATACAGATTAGTTTCATTGAGCCTCGAGGTCTCATTTACAAGAGAGACCTGTTTTTAACAAAGAATGATGACAACAGTGGACAACAATGACAGCAGTAGACAATCGTAAAAGTCTACTGGATGCTCGTGATCTCCGGGCCCTTAAATGTCACTGCACCTCAAACAGGAATGCCACGGTCAAGGAAATAACAGAATGGGCTCAGGAATACTTCCAGAAAGCATTGTCAGTGAACACAAGCCACCGTGCCATCTGCCGTTGCCAGCTGAAACTCTACAGTGCAAAGAGGAAGCCATTTCTAAGCAAGCTCAGACGTTTGCACTGGGCCAGGGGTCATTTAAAATGGAGTGTGGCAAAATAGAAGATTGTTCTGTGGTCAGATGAGTCACGATTTGAAGTTCTTTATGGAACACTGGGACGCCATGTCATCCAGACCAGAGAGGACAAGGATAGCCCAAGTTGTTATCAACGCTCCGTTCAGAAGCCTACATAACTGATGGTATGGGGTTACATGAGCGCTTGTGGCATGGGCAGCTTGCATGTCTGGAAAGGCACCATTAATGCAGAGAACTATGTTCAGGTTCTAGAACAACATATGCTCCCATCTAGACATCATCTCTTTCAGGGAAGACCCTGCATTTTTCAACACGATAATGCCAGACCACATTCTGCCGCAATCACAACATCATGGCTATGTAGGAGAAGGATCCGGGTACTGAAATGGTCAGCCTGCAGTCCAGATCTTTCACCTATAGAGAACATTTGGTGCATCATAAAGAGGAAGGTGCGACAAAGAAGGCCCAAGATGATTAAACAGTTAGAGGCCTGTATTAGACATGAATGGGAGAGCATTCCTATTTCTAAACTTGAGAAACTGGTCTCTGTCTCCAGACATCTGTTGAGCATTGTAAGAAGAAGGGAGGATGCCACACAGTGGTAAAAATGGACTTGTCCCAACTTTTTTTGGATTTGTTGACACCATGAAATTTGGAAACAACAGATTTTTCCTTTAAAATGATACATTCTCTCCGTTTAAACTTTTGATCTGTGATTTGTGTTCAATTCTGAATAATATATTAAATGTTGGCACCTCCACATCATTGCATTCAGTTTTTATTCCCAATTTGTTTAGTGTCCCAACTTTTTGGGAATCCGGTTTGTATGTATGTATGTATGTGTGTATGTAAATATATATGTGTGTGTGTGTATATATATATGTGTGTGTGTGTGTATATATATAT